GTGTTTTTTTTTTTTTTTTTTTTTTTTTTTTTTTTTACAGCTCATTGCCAAGTGGTGGATGAAAAAATCATATGCGAAAGTTCAATGTTTTGGGAGAAAGGTTTTGTGGCTTTTCAAGCTGCCATTAATGCTGCTATCATAGAAGTGAGTATTAAGGAAAGCTAATTGCATTATAAATTAAAATTTAGTGGATGGAGACCTGGACTGTGCTATAATTTATTCATTTCATTAATTAGGCACAATGGAGCAAAAAAACTTGTATAATCAAACCATTGGGCAAAGTATTGGAGATCAGAAAATAAGCACAGCATAGATAGTTTTATCCAAAGAGCTGGTGATAAGGGAGGTGGAAATATGACCTGTATTTATAAGTGTTCAGTAATGAGTTTTTAAATGGTGTTTTAGACAAACAGTGAAGCAGAGGAATATTTAAGAAATATCAGTGAAAATTTACTATTAAAATGTGATTCCAGCTGGTCTAAAGCATGATTTGAATTTTTCCCAGGGAATATGGTAAGAAGAGACTCTCTAGGGAGTCATGGTAAACCTGAAGTGTTCTGGGGGAGACCAGGAGCCAAGAAACTAAGGGTGTCATTATATTTGTGTGTGAAATGCACATGATTCCTTACAAATCAGTGAAAGAGCAGGAACTTGCATTAATTAGATTAATGATCTCTCTTCATTAATGTCTTTCTTAAGATCACAGTGAATCGCTCAGTAATGGAGGAGCTGATGTCAATTACTGGTGTGAATATGAAGATATTACCTTTTATTGCTCAAGGAGGAATTACAACCGATTTTTTCATTTTCTTCTGCATCATTTCTTTTTCTTCATTTATATATCATTTATCAGTCAATGTTGCACAAGAAAGACACTACATTAAATCACTGATGACAATGATGGGACTTCAAGGATCGGCATTCTGGTAAATCATGACTACAATCCATTGTTCCGCATAAGGAGAGTGAGTCAGCTGATTAGTCTCCCTGGGTCTGTGAATTAACATATTTAGACTCGATGCTTTCATAAAGTACTGTATTACAGATGAATGAGTAGATGGACCTCCTTGTTTGTTGACTGAAACCTCTATTTCTCTGAATTTGAAGGAAGACACCAGCCTTGTAGCTGTCTTCCAATCCTCGGGGATAATACATGGTTGACAGTTACTAGTTACCACATCTGGCAAACCAAAGATAAGAAGTTGAGATCTCCAACGTGTAACAGAGCATGTATCTAGGATACTGTGTTAAAAATGGTGCCTGGTTTTCACCCCTGGATAAATGAGTCAGCACTTCTATAACACTGGGAAAAGAGAGCAGTTAGGCTCATTGAGCCCTGGGCTTCCCTGGGTGAGGGTGGTAAGAAGACAGGCCTGGGTGACAGGAAGCCAGGGCCATCTCCAATTCAGCATTCAGTAATTCCCACTTGCAACAAATTATTTCAACTCTTTCAGCTTCAGTTTTCTTTTTTCTAAAACATTGATAATATATCTATTTTTATCACTGGTCATGAAGATTAAAGAAAGAAATGTGTTTAACCTGCTTCACAGAACGCTTAGGAAATGCTAATCCATAAATTTTTGGAGGACAGTAGATGCAAATTAGAAAACTAAGGTTTGGCCAGTGAGTGTTCAATATTCTGAGTGCAGAAATAGAGAAGATAGATTAGATTGCTGATCTGGTCTATAATAGAAGTATTTGCTATTGTCTTTGTGTGTGTGTGAGTGTGTGTGTTAAAGTGTTTTTATCTCTATATTGAAGGAAATTGTGGTTACTATATTTTAAAAGATGATGAAAATCTACAAAGAGTTGGAGAAAAATAACTAATATGATTTAAGAAAAATCCAAATAAATGCAAATAAGGAAGGATTAAAAATCAGGGCTTTTTTCCCCCCAACAAGAAAAGGCTGAGTTGAGGTGTTTTATTTGTACAGCATTTGAATGATATTAAGAGGAGGCTTATAAAGATATATAAATGAGAGTTGGGGATTTAGCTCAGTGTTTGCACTGCCTGCCTTGCGAAGTGCAAGGTCCCAAGTTCAATCCCCCATGCCAAAACAAAACAAAACAAAACAAAAAAACAACTGCCAGAGAATGAGTGTATTAGTAAAATGTAAGCATTACAATTGGATTTTAATAATTAGACTTCAAGGGCAGGTGAGAGAGCTCACATCAGTAATTTCAGTTACTTAGAAGGCTGAGGCAGGAGAATCACAAATTTGAGTCTGGTCTGGGCAGTTTAATGAGATACTGTCATAATAAAGGAATAGAGGCTGGGTGCAAGAGTGTGAAGATGTGAAGGCCCTTGGGTCAAACCTTGGTGGTACAGCATATGTCTAGCTATATGCCAGTTAGAGTCCCAGTACAGCAAAAAAGAAAATAAAACAAAAATGACAAAAACAGACTCCCTTAATTATGCTGGCATTTTCTACTTTAAATAAAAATAAACCACTTGTCCATTGTGGACCCACTATAAATCAGTTGTCATATTAAATCTGGAAAATATATAATTTCATTTAGTTACCTTAATATTTTCCAACAGGGAATACTGAAGTTTAAAGAGACTAAATAACTACTCTCAGGATTATCTAGTCAGGAGGTAGCAGAGAAAACTTTAACCCAGGTCTGTGTAATTAGAAAGTTTATTTTCTTTTCCCTCTACAGAGCTTTGTTTCTCTGGTTTTTTTGGTGGGGGAATTGTTGAGGGGGACATATCTTGATATCCATGTATTTATCTGTACCTATTTATGTGTTTTGTGTGTATCTGCATCTGTATTTAATCATTTATGCCAAAGGTTGGCAATTATGGCCTATTTTTGTATAATTTGCAAACTAGAAATCTGGGAAAAAATGAAAAGAACAATAATGTTAGCCAAGCATGGAAATGCATACGTGCAATCCCAGTTACTTAGGAGTCTGAAGTAGGAGAATGCCAAGTTCAATCCCAGCTTACCTTTCCCTATAATATATAAGCTTCTGATTTGTTAGTCATTGCATCCGTTTCATCCCTGATAAATGGTGCATGTCACAAATCATTTGCTGAATACCTAAATTAGTAGGTAAAGTGATAGTGAAGTGGAACTCAGAGCTGAGTCTTTATTTCTCTGCCAGGCTTTCCTGGGGCGTCATGTATGCTGGCTTCATCCTTGTCATGGCTGTTTTGATGACCCTTATCGTAAAATCTACCCAAATTATTGTGCTAACTGGCTTCATGGTGGTCTTCATTCTCTTTTTCCTCTATGGCTTGTCTTTGGTAAGTTGGTGAATTTTCTCTCTATCTCCAATTATGTGGTATTGATTTTGTTTTCATCTCTTATGTTGTTTTTACAGTATTTGCATAAGACCTGTGTATAGACAATTTCTAATCAAGAGTTGATGGAATACTGTTATGTTTTACATTGTTTTGTTTTGTTTTTGGCAGTACTAAGGATCAAACTCAGGGTCTGGACATGCTATGCAAATACACTTTTATGTAATATTGTGTTAGTCAGCTTTCTCTCACTGTAACAAATGCCTGAAATAATTAATTTATAAGAAGGAAACTGACTCACAGTTTTAGAGGTTTCTGTCCATAGTTGATCTGCTCCTTTATTTGGGCCTAGGGTGAGGCTGTACATCATGGTGGCAGCACACGGAAGATCACAACTGCTCACCTCATGATGAGAATGTGAAAAATAGAGAAAGAGGAAGGATCTAGAGTCCTACAGTCCTGCTTAAGGGCATTCTTCCAGTGACCAGAAGTCTTCCATTAGGCTCTACCGCTTTATGGTTCTACCACCTAATAACACATTGGGCAAGACACCAAGCCTTTAACCTAAGAATCTTTCAAAGACAACTATCCAAACATAGCTAATACGAATTCCCTTTATTGTGCCACTGATAGTTCTCCCAGCATTAGACCAGCTGAATTTCTTCTCCTTTCAGATAACTTTGGCTTTCTTGATGAGCGTGTTGATAAAGAAACCTCACCTCACTGGTTTGGCCATCTTTCTACTTATCATTTTTTGGGGCAGCCTGGGATTCACCACATTGTACAGACATCTTCCTGCGTTTTTGGAGTGGATCTTATGTCTTCTTAGTCCATTTGCTTTCACTGCTGGAATGGCCCAGGTAAGAGCTAAGGGAGCCATTTTACATGTTGTGAAACATTATAAACAGATACCTTCCATATTCAGGCAACACGTACTACGTATCAACATTTCCCTCTCACACTTTCTCAAAGATAAACACTTTAAGGGTACAAGTTTTCATTTTTCTGCATAATTATTTGCTTCTAAATTCACTACTTATAATGTAATATTCTATGATCAATGTGATTCAGCTTCTATTCCTAATTGGTTGTCCCAATGAACATTTGTCTGATTTAAATTCAGGAAACATAACCTTTAATACTAAGACAAGTATCTGAAATCTAAGAAAGTACAATAAATAATTTTTTAAATTAGTCATTTCTATGTGAAACTGAAACTCCTCTCAGAAAAGTTAAGTTCAGTCATGACACTGTAACTATAAAAATGCCAAATGAAAGTTTAAGAAAGGTTATATTAGTTAATTCAATAAGAAATTATTCTTCTGTCTTCTGTGTAAGGACTAAAGTACTTTAACTCTCTGTTTTCATTCTGAAATGGCGACCCCCTCTCATTTTTCTTCCAGGTCTTGTATTAGGTCCAGTTTATCGCTTATCTTGAGTTTTTAACCTTCTCCTAGGATTTGTATGTACTGTGGTTTGTAGTTAGATAAGTTTGTTTTTTCTTTTTGCTATGTGTTATTGTAAATCTAAGATTATTCATCTTTGCAACCCCAGGGTCTAACAGAAATGAGACAGTAGTTCTTGATGTTTCTAAACCTTTATAAATTCTGTCTTTTTACAGCTTATACATTTGGACTATGATGTGAATTCTAATGTCCATTTGGATGCTTCAAACAACTCATACATAGTAATAGCTACTCTTTTCATGCTGGCTTTTGATGCTCTTCTCTATTTGGTATTGACATTATATTTTGACAAAATTTTGCCCAGTAAGTAGTAGCATGATTGTAATTCAACACAATTTCATTAAGTGCTTTTTTATTGAGTTTATTGGTACATTTTAGGTATACAGTACAATTATATTCATTATCTGGATCTTGTACCTTTATATAAGAGGTCTTGGTTCTCATTTTTTCCCCTTGTCCCTGCCCTCCCTTCACTCCCTCCTCCCCTCCCCATTTACAAACACTTTATTTCCATTTTTTCATTTTCTCATATTAAGAAAAAATATGAGAAAACATTAAGTGCTTTTATTTAAAATAAATGTGTGCAATGTATAGAATGTAAGTTATCTAGCATTTCCACCAAAAATTTCTGAAATAAGACTGATAATATTCTGGACTTAATTTATAGAATCACTTTTGAAGACTTAGAAAGACTTGGGCTGTTTCTTGTTAAAAGAGGAACTTGCAAGAGATTATGGATAATTTAAGCTGTTAATGCTGCATGTCAGAATCAGATGAAGAATTATAATTCTTTATACTTAGAAGTTTTTAAGTGCTTCCCCACTGAATACAAATAGTAGACATTGGTAGGTCATTGCTGAAAAGTAACTGAATGCTGAATGCATCATCTCTTCTGTGGAGAAATAGGTTTTTCACCTGTGCATCCCTGGAGTTCATTTCTGAGTATATTCCGGATAAATGTTAGGGAAGAGAACAGACAGAGATAGGTAGATGAAAGGAAGGAAAGAGACTAAGGACTGATGCAGAATGATGTCTACATGCTTTATAAAACTCCACAAGTAAGACATTCTAAGGTCTGTCATTATTTCTGTGCTGTGGATTGTCATACTTGGGGGTAAGAACCTTGCTTAACCTGAGTGGAGGAAATCATAATGGCACTTTGCATGTCAAAGGTGTGTGTAGGTGAACTAAACAAAGGACAGAGTTGCTCAGAAGACCTACTCTATGTTGGCAGGTTACAGCAAGGTTGACAGAAACAATACAAAAATAGTTCAAGGAAAGAAATATAGAGGGCAGTCTCATATGTGCATATGGTTGAACACTTTATATAAGCAAGAACAAATCCATTCCAACAAAGATTTCTGAAGTAACTCAACAATAACCAAGTGGGATTTACTTGACAATACAATTATGTTAACATATAGCAGAAAATCTTACCATTCTCTTATCATACAAACTAAAATTTGATAATGTTCAATACCATAAATGCTAATTTTTAAAGTTTTACCATTTTTAAAATAGAAGAGAACATATTTAGCAAAAATAAGGCCAATCAAAAATTACAAACACACAAAAAAACTAGCAGTGCCTGAACATTTAGAAATAGATACAAAAGGCTTTAATAAAACAGTATGAGAATTTTTAAAAATATGGTGATAGTACATAGAACTCTGGTATATGAGAAACATTCTGTAAGTGAAATAAGTTTGGAAAAATAAAGTTTTAAAATAATAGAATTGTTCCATTAATTTATGCAATGTTGTAAACTTTATTATAAGTTTATATTATAAAGTTATACTTACAACTGTAATAATAAAATTTACAACTGTATGATATACTTACATCTGTAAGTATGAAGTTAAAGTTATATATGTAAGGAAGTAATACCAGGATGTTCAGTTATCATAAGTGAGGTTTTTGTTGGCACATATTTAAAATACCGGTTGTTGTTAAGTAAAAGAAGAAAGATTGCCCAACTACTTTCAGTGACTTTAGAGGAAAAATGAATATTAAGGACGTATTGTAAAAGAAGAGACCACAGATGTCCGTATTGTTTTTCAAAAGAGAAAGAAATTATTTTTCACTAGTTATGATTTACTCATTTTGAAAATCTTCCTGGGGAAGGGTTTCGGAGTAAGGTACAAATACTCGGTGAGATCCTTTAACGTGGAAGTTCTGAGACGTGGCACCTACTTTGAATTCACTGGGAGAGAATGATTCCAAAAATAGTCATGCTGATTTTGACAGGCTTATTAAGCTAAGTGATCAGAGTAAATAACAGAGATGATAAAGCTAGGTCTCTTTAAGGCGTAGCAAAGTGAAAGTCTTTATCTTTAAAGTAAGGAAGCCCAGATGTCTGTTAAGTAGAATTATTTTTCAAAATAAAATTCAACATACCATCCTAGATGATAACATTTAAAGGTAGCTGCAGAAAAATAATGTTGACCATGAGCAGATGACTTTTTTTTTTTCTTTTCTTTTTTTTGGTACCGGGGATTGAACTTCAGGCCCTTGCCCTTGCAAGGCAGGCGGCAAAACTACTGAGCCAAATCCCAGCCCAAGGTGATATTTTTAATAATATTGAAGAAGTCATATTTGAAGGCCCAGATGTTGTGTGGGGGATTCATTCTGCACACAAAGCTTTGATCAGATTAATTCTGAGGTTGCTTTTGGATCTGAGTGTGTGGAAATGAAAAGGCTTGATTTTGATGACTGTAATTCCTTGAAAAATATTTCAGTTGTAAGTAGCCAGTAGGTAGATACTTCAAGAGAGATAGTTATTTTAATATTTATGATAGTATATCTGGTTCATCTCCGTTATTATTACAGAAAAACCTATTTTAAAACAAGTATTTATGTTCTTCCTTTTAAAAAATGATGAAACCAGCAGTATATACTTAGTAGAATTCACTTGAAGGTACATGAAGGTAAACTCAGAAATGTGCGTAATTATCCTAATTGTCTGGCAAAGACTTCCATAGCCCATTCCATTTTTCTCTATTATTTATTAGCATTTCCTAGTTTTAGAAAATTCAATTCCCGCTAAGATGAATGCTGATCAAAAGCTATACCTTTAATAGACGAAGATTACTAAAGGAAGCTCTTTTTTTTTCTTTTTCATTAATACACATTGGTTTTTTTCACCTTTGCAATTAAATCTAGGACCTCATGAGAGCCAGACAAGTGTTCTACAATTGAACTGCACCTTTCCTTTTATTTTTAAAAGGCTGCACCTAAGTGTGTGGCTCCCCAAGGTTCTCTGGTGTAGCTTATATTTTTGATCCATCAGGTACTTCCTGGCTTGATGAAATATTGCCACATAATAACACAGAGCCTATTTCTCACCATAGCCAGGAACACTGGGAAGCACATTAACATATCTGTATCTGACCAAATTGAAGTGAGAGCTGTTTTTTTTGTGTGTGTATTTTTTGTTTGTTTGTTTGTATGTTTGTTTGGTTGGTTGGTTGGGCTTTTTTTTTTTTTTTGGTACCAGGGATCAAACTCAGGGCCTTGCACTTGCAAGGCAGGCAGCGGAACCACTGAGCTAAATCCCTGGCCTCAAGAGCTGCTCTTAATGCTAGAATTAAACTCCTCCTGAAACATCTCAGTCTGATGCTTCGAGGATATTTTTATTTAATTACAATACCACACCCCTCTCATATTGGAGACATTGTGTTAGATGATGACATCTCGGTTATTTTTTCCTCACTGTTTTGTGTATGTGTAAAGACACCAGAACAGTCATACTTTAAGGTGATGATGTGGGTTGTGGGTTAGGGTTCAGTAATAAAGGGTTTACATGGACATGCTGCCCTATGGTGACTAAAGTTCTTCGAGTGGTGGCTGACTTAATGTTTGATTGCCTCTTGTCATGTAGCCCAGTATGGACATCGACATTCTGCCATGTTTTTCCTGAAGTCCTCTTTTTGGAGTAAATATCAAAGAGCTGATCATGTGGTGCTTGAGAATGAAATAGATTCTGATCCTTCATCCAATGACGCCTTTGAACCTGTGTCTGCAGAATTCCATGGGAGAGAGGCCATCAGGTAATGCCTCACACAGAGATGCAACAGAGAACGAGGTCAGGGAAAGCTCTGATGTACACACTCTACCACCTGTGTCCTTTTCTCCCTAACCTCCAACCAGTCTGAGCCGCTCAAGAAAGGCTGCTTTCGTTCTTAATCACTGTGTCTCCCCGGCATTAACATTCACTAATATCTGCAGTACGGCAACAACCACCAACAGACAGATAATACATATATTTCCTCTTTTCTCACTGTCTTGTTTCTCCTTTCTTTGTGCTTTTCTGTCCCTTCCTCTGCTGCTCTCTTTGCGACAGACAAGGCCTTCACCTCATTTCTTGTTCTCATCCCTTTTTTCTCTTTGATCCCCTCGGGCCTTCTCCTCTTCCCTTCATAGCTGATACAATGAAGCAAAAAGATAGATGTTGCAGAAAAGGGGAGAGAAACATTCCAGAAAAATGGGAAGGAGGGGGAGAATGAGAAGCACTAGTGCTTTGCGTGTCTCCCCTTAGAGACAGTGTACGTGCTTTGTTCAATGGTGAGTGCTCTGGCTTCTAAACAGTGAGAGATCCCTAACATTCTAGATCTTTGCTCAAATTTTGTTCATCATTTACTGTTGAGTTCACCTCTCTCCTCAGTGAAACTTTTCTGATCTACGTCTTCCACGTTTCTGTCTTTAAATATTTAGTTTCTATAACCACAGGTCCAACATGACATACAATGAGTTGGTGTGTTCTCGAGGATTGTTGTCTCCATCCAGATGGAACATTATGTTTTGTTTTTGTTTTTGTTTCGTTTTGTTTCTTGCTCTCTTCTATGCCTAGGAAGAAATGAGGTCCCATCAGAGCAGTAACAGAATGCTTTAAATATGGAGAGAAGGTATTTGGATTTACGCAGTAGGCAAAGAAAAATGTAGCGAGGTTTTGTAGATTCTAGATAGCATGGTAAGTCCTGTGATCTGGAAAGATTATATCTAGCAACCTGAGGAGGCATTGGGAGCAGTCTCACCTATTGACTGTCAGGACAGTGCGGAACGTTTTGCCCGTAGCCTGGTAACCCAAGGCTGCCTGACTGCTTCGTTGACTGTGGTGCAAGGCAATCGGCAGAGCAGTTCGTTGTTATGTAACTTTGTGTCCATCTATTCCATGTCCTTCACTCCAGGTTACTATCAACTCAGCAAAGAAGGCAGAAAGCTGAAATATCAATTAAAATGCACTATTGTACCAAACACAGAGTACTGTCTACCTAACCTAGAATATAATAAACAGTGAGTTCCATCAAAACTTACGGCAAAAGCTCAGCATTCTTGTTCAGAAGAAATGAAGAGACAAAGCCAGCTGATACTTATGATTGCCTGAAAAAGAAAAGATCAGGAAAGAGAGGCCAGCAAAACCCAAGCACCTTGCCCAAGGCCACTGAGTTTAGGAGGAGAGACAGTATCCAAACTCCATGTACCCACTTCAAGGTTATGACAACTCAAGGAACTTCTTGCCCATAGTCTCTTCCATAACAAACTGGGTGTCACTTATTCTATGGATCAAAAAACGTCCTCCAAAACTCATATATTGAAACCCTGTGATGGAATTTGGGGATGGGGTCTTTGAGAAGTAATAGGGTTAGATGAGATCATAGGGGGGCTTTCATGATAGGGTTACTATGTGTGTAATAAGAGACACAAGAGAAGCACATGACCATTAAGAAAGGACACAACAAAAAGTCTTCTGCAAGTTGGGGACAGAGCCTTCCCCAGGAGTCAGCTGTGAGAAATAAACTCTGATATTTAAGCCACTCAGCGATAGCAGACTAGACAAAATGATACAATCTGTCTACTGGTTTGCTATTATAATGTGAGAAAATAAAGGAGATAAAATGCACAAAATCTGGCTTATAATAGACCTTAGACTCATTTCAGATCTTTTGCACTGAGCTATTTCCCAGCATTTTTTTGTTTTTTATTTATTTTTAAAATTTTGAGTCAAGGTCTGGACAAATAGCTATGTTGCCTTGGTTGGGCTCAAACTTGCTTCCTCATACCCAAGCCTCCTGGAGAGCTGGGATTATAGGCATGTACCACCACTCCCAGTTTTAAATCTGCTTTTGCTTTAAAACTTTTTTCTTGTCAACTTCTACTCTCATTTTATTTGGAGGTTTACTATGTCTCAAGAATTTTGTTCATGTTATCTTTTTTACTCAACAAATTACCCCTCCATGATAGTTAATGCTATTATCCCCATGAGACGGCTGAAGAACTGAACTCAGTGACTTCTGAGCACGTAGTATTTATAGCAGAGCTACCAAATGACATCGCTGGGACTTCACCCAGAGCAATTTGACTCTCAAACCTTAATCTTTCTGCTGTAGTATCTGGCTTGCATTTTAAAAAAATCTCCACCATAGTGTCTCCTAACCATTGATTTTCTTTCCAGCTTTTGGCTTTTCCAGTCATCTGTCATAATCCTCATACCTACATATTTCTGCATGTTAGCTACTCCTCCCTTTGTAGGCTGCTCAAACAGAGGCTATAGTGATCAACGGTGCTGCTTTTTAGGAGGTACCCGGGAACCTTCAGCCAGTGCCTGTGTAAAACAAAAAACAACCTCAAATTTTCTTACAGTCTCAAAGTGTTGAGATACAGTTTCCTCAAAAGGTTTTCCTCTTTTGCAGAATCAAAAACCTTAAAAAAGAATATAAAGGACAGCATGAAAAAGTAGAAGCTTTGAAAGGTAATTAACATTACTTTAGCATGGATTTTTGACTCAGTGACTATGCCTTACAGCTGTAGCACTTTGGTAGGAATTAAGAACAGATATTCCAAATATTATAATTTGTCTTTATTAAAAAATTGAATATTTGAAAGTAAATGAAAAATCATACAGCAATTCTTAAAAGTAGGATGTACTGTTTAGAATCTTGTGGATTTAAAAGATATATGATAGCATCATAGATTATTTTCAATTAATCATATACTCCTGTCATGAAGCTGTCTTTACTGTAGCCACTCCCTTTTTAAGAACAAAATGCTCTTATCAAAAAGTGGCTATTCACATAATGGCATCTCATTGATGATGCTATAACTTTAAAATGTTTAGCATATAAAATACAATTTTAAAAGGAAGAATCTTAGGATTGATTATATTTTGAATATTCATACTGTAAGAAATGTACAACTCTCCAGAGACTATAAAGTTACCATTTAGACTCTGAGTGTAATTTCTCTGAAATGTTGCCAGGTCTGGTTCTTGACATATATGAAGGCCAGATCACTGCCCTCCTTGGTCACAGTGGCGCTGGGAAAACCTCCTTGTTAAACCTACTGAGTGGACTGTCACTCCCGACATCAGGTGAGACGATGATTATCTAAGGACAAGTTCAAGAGCCAATGAATTAACTTCAATAGTCCATTAACTATTTGTTAAATCAAGTTACTAAGAGAAAATTGTAGAAGTTTCCTTAAATATTATAATATGTATTACATACACACATTATATGGTACCTTTTTAGCATGTACACTTTTTATGCTTTTATGTATCAGTTTAAAAAATCAATTTGAAGTTATTCTTTATGTAATTATATTGCATTTGTTTAAGAAAATGCCGCCTTTAAACTATTTTGTTGATAGCTTTATGATTAGTCAATTACCGACTAGTATCTCTGTTAGGTCAGAGGTTATTCTGAACATTGAATTTTTGATCAGTCAACTGTATGTTGCTACAGGTAGACTACGTATAAGTGGATCTAGCAATCTGCACACATTGTTTTCCATTTTAAAATATCTTCAGTGCAATGTGGCACTTTTTTCTGATGGTAACTCTCTACTTACTGTTTACAGGTTCTATCACTATCTACAGTCACACACTTTCAGAGAGGGCTGATTTTGAAACTGTCAGCAAGCTCACTGGAGTTTGTCCACAGTCCAATGTACAATTCGGCTTTCTCACCGTGAGAGAAAATCTCAGGCTGTTCGCTACAGTGAAAGGGATTTTGCCACATGAAGTGGAGGAAGAGGTACATGAGTTGTCACACAGCCGCGAAAATGAAATCGCTCACCTAGAAAATTCTAAATGTGCTTGTGTTCTCTGTACACAATTCATCATCTAAAGCTTAGACAAAAAGGCCCTCTCTGAGGACAGAAAAAAATAAGATTGTCTTAAAAATAAACGGTTTGGATTTTGGACTAAATGTTCTTTATTTGGTTAGGTGCAACAAATTCTACGGGACTTAGAGATGGAAAATATTCAGGACATTCTTGCTCAAAATTTAAGCGGTGGTCAAAAAAGGAAGCTGACTTTTGGGATTGCCATTTTAGGAGATCCTCAGGTAAGTTGAAGTAAAACTATTGATGAAATCACATTGAAGACTATGGAACTATTGTATTAGAACAAACAACTTACAAACAATAAATCTAAGAGAATTTTTACAATGAAACATTAAGGACTATTTAGCTCAGTGGCGCAGGCACCTGCCTCACATTAAGTACTAAGTTGTTTTTCCTCAATACCTTTGCAAGGATAGTGCTTTTTAGAGGAATCCTACTTAACAGGGAAAAACATTTTTATGCTCTTTCCTATTATTAAGGTTTTACTATTGGATGAACCAACTGCTGGACTAGATCCTCTTTCAAGGCACCACATATGGAATCTCCTGAAAGAGAGGAAATCAGACAGAGTGATTCTCTTCAGTACCCAGTTCATGGATGAGGCTGATATCTTAGCTGGTAATTTCTGGTTTTCATTCACATATCTTAGTGAGAAATTAGAAACATGTGCAGAGTGTGAATAGAATGCTAGATAAGCTCTATCGCACTTGTCACTTTACTGTTAAGTCTTTCACATGTCTGGATCCCGGAGTACTCTGCCCCATGGACATATTTTGCTTTGACTACCTAGCATCAGAGGTTGTAAAATACCCAGTACACTTTCAGAGACATGTGGTTTTTTAATTCAGTAGGGGGTCCGTTGGCTTGAAGCACGTTGCTTACTATGCTTGATAACTTTTCTAAACACACTAGAGAACAAATGAACATAATTTATCATTCCAATCTTTGGATGACAAAGAAAGTGTTTTACACATGGAAGAATTAGAATGTATCTATTTTAGTATACCATGCTTCTAAAATGCTTTATTCATTAATGGATTCACTTATGAACAGTGAAGAAAAATCCCTTAATACAATTTCATTTTGGTTCTTATAATCAGATAGGAAGGTATTTATATCCCATGGCAGGCTGAAGTGTGCTGGTTCTTCTCTGTTCCTGAAGAAGAGGTGGGGCATTGGCTACCGTTTAAGGTATGGTTCTTAATGTTGGAGAGTAATTTGCTAAGAGTGATTTATCAATATTTTAACATTTTCACTTATCATATGTCAGAACTATATTTTTCTTTATCCTGACAATTGCACTACCTTTCTCTCTAGTCTTTCTGACTTCATTTTCGACCATTTTTTCTATATGTTTTTATTATAATAATTATCACTCTTAAGTAATTCTATTACCTATTATTTACTATATTTTAGATACTTGCTATGACATCTACTCATATTATCATATTCAATCCTATAAATAACCCTAGGAAGATGCTATTATTATCCTTCTTTGGCAAATAAGACTAGAACATGCTCAAGTTTTAGTAACCCACCAATCTCATATTATTTGTAAGTGGTAGAGTCTTTGAATCAAAATCAAGATTACTGTACTTCCTACTGAAATATTAACATTTCTTAAGCAATTTAAATCACTTTATCTCCGGTGCATGGACCTGATGATTTACACGGAGTGCCTAACCTTACCAGGCCTACATTCCATCATTGTCAATCAAATTCCTCCATACTCTCCAACTAAACAGGACCGCTTGCTGCTGTTCTCCAAGCACGTCCCATAATTGGCTTCTTTACACTGAGGAACACCTGTAAAACACGTCCCCCTCCAATCCAATTAACCATATCCAAATCTTACCCCTTCTCCTCAGTGAGCATCTTCTTTTCTGGAGCCTTGAAAAAACGAATTTGAATTGCTTTGGGCAACTTGATTAACTTCTTTGATCCTCAATAAACTCATCTGCCAAGTAGTAGTAATAAGTTCTAATTAATAGCTAAAGCTAAGAAATGAGGAATGAGTTAGTACTTGGCAAGGTGCAAGGTACCTAAGCTAAGTCAGCTGGACTTCAAGCTCCCTCACTTGTTTGCAATATGCTGCTTTGTGTTATCACTATATTATAAACTCCTTTCTGAAGGTCCTGTAGTCTTCCTACTTGGTAACTTTTAGGCTTGTGTCGTCAGTCGACTGGATTGTCACACTTTATCTCTCACCATCAACACTCTGTTTCATCACTACCTTTCAGTGGATATGACTAATAATGGGTTTTCCAAAATCCACTAATTTCATAAAGAATGATTTTATACTTTCTTTTCAACAGACTGACTTTGACTTAAAGAAATTTTATACACAAAAATGATAAAATTGTATAACGGTATTGAGGGTTCACTTAGTGAAAGATCTTGGGCTGTGTCATACATACTGTATGTTATATTTTCCTTTTGAAAGGTCTTTTGAGAAATGAGCATTATTTCATCTCACAATGACAAAACTAATGCTCAGACATATTAAACAACTTGGCCAAGGAACCAACATTAGGATGACCTTAGAACCATGCTTTTAATGACTATATAAATTCCCCCCATTTTTGCTGTATGATATTTAAGTCCACAAATTCTTGCAGCACTTGTACAATACTGCAAAGGGAAAAATTCAAGTTTGGATTTTGGAATAGAGAAAAAAAATCAAGCATTTTATCCTCCACTTTACCCCAACCAAGACTTTGCTGAGTATCCTTGAATCCAAATTACAGTCTTTGAGTTAGTTTATCTGATTGTAATTGTCCCTTTCACTAGTTCATCTGCCATGTTGAATAGATTGAGAAGATCAGACTATATTGCTATTATTCCATATTTCTATTTCTAATAAGTTATACATTTTAGTCTCATCAATATTAGTGAAGTGATAAGCATACAATGGATAGTTAAAAATTTGTCTTTAGTGACAGTGCTAGATAAAAATAATTTTAACTTACTCTTTTTTTGCATGTTAGCTTGCATCTGAATGAAATGTGTGATCCAGAGAGTATTACATCACTGGTTAAACAGCACATCCCTGATGCCACATTAACAGCACAAAGTGAAGAAAAACTTGTTTATATTTTGCCTTTGGAAAGAACAAACAAATTTCCAGGTAACAAAATGCAGAGACCATAGAATGATTTAAGAATAGAGTTACTAGCGCTAGCAGTAGTGGTAAGAATGAGGGTTAGTTTTAATGTCTCCTTAGTACAGAGAACAGGGCATTAACTCATTTAGCATTTCCAACACCAAGTCGCTTCTAATATCAGCTCCAGAAATTATCCCCGTGTCACTTATGAGTAAACTAAAACACACGGGCAAAGACATTTCAAGTTCTAAAATGTGCACTTTAGAGGCACAAGACGGCATCGAGCTAAAGTTAGAATCATCTGGAAAAAATTGTCCTAGGAATGGATGAAAAAGAGTGGTCAGGGCAGGAAGGGACCTGTGAAACAGTGGGGAACTATTGAAGGAGAGTCAAGGAGCTTGACATACAACATGTAGACTTATAAACACAGCTGTAATTGACTTGCATGTGAGTAAACACTCTAAAATTCATAATTTTGCTGCATATACAAAAGCTTGGAGGGCTACTGAATTCACCACTTTTCTATAGTATCAGCCAGTATGTTGTTTCCCAATGTGCTCCAAAGAGTTTCAAAGTAGATTACTTAAAAAAAAAGACAGCCGGACCGGGGATTTAAGCTCAGCGGTTCGGTGGCCTGCCTTGCAAGCACAAGGACCCGAGTTCAATCCCCGGTAC